AAAACCAGCGAGAAATTATCCAGGGACTGGAATGTTATTTACTTACATGAAATCGTTCTTCCCATTGGCTACCTACCCAACACATGTAGCATCTTTCTGAATTCTTATTCAACTGTGTCTATTCTTGTTTGATAAGTGAGACAAAATGAAAAGCCATGCAAGGCTGCATGGTGATATCTTATTATGAACTTCCCTATAATCATGATAAATACTTTTATGCCAACTTTTTATTCATTAAAAAGATACTAAGTTAGAGTTATACAAACACTGGTAAAATTGACAAATTTGAAAAATTGTTCCCGTTAGCACCATCACATTGGAGAAAACTCTAAAGAACCCAACATTTAATTTCAAGATTTAAAATGTATACTTATTTTATTTAAGCACTTTCCTATTTAAACATTTACTTATTTTATATAAATAAATGAAACAATATTAAAAAATACATCTCAAATAAACCTATATGCTTCAGTTCTGTCAACATTTTTTTTTTAATACCTTGATCAAACTTCCATTTTGGTGAAGACCTGAAACACATTTTTTGAATTGCCCTACCTAATGAATCCTAATAACCTACAGGAGATCAATCTCCAAAAAACACATTCCAAGCTGACTGATTGAGGTAACTGCAATACAACAGGAGATCTTCGTCACAGACTTTCCAAAACTTCCTCTTTGCTTACGGTAGTGCATATCTGTGTTTAAGTTATGTTTTCCATAAAGAAGAACATTTGAGCAATAACAAGAAGTCTGGAATTTGTCCTTGCGTGGACGTGAATCTCTAGGAGCTGCCAACATCCACATTTACTCGCAGACTCTGAATAGGAAACTGCAGCTGTGTCTAAAATTTATATGATAAATAACACAGTCTTACGAAACTCATAACTTCAAAATGGGATCAAAATATTGGTTTGAAAATCCAACTCCTATTTGTAAATGTAGTTTCTTATTTCTGTTGGTTTTCATTGCCGCCTTCAGAACTTTTTTTGGTAGTGGAGAGAGATTCAAAATTGGGAGTCTATACATTTGGTGGAAATAGTAAAATAAGTAGGCACTGTTGTAGCTCCAGCTCTTAAACAACTTAGAACAAGGCCACATAAGAAGCTGTAACTTTATACAAAAAGGGGATTTAATTTACTATTTCTTTGCAACTTGGGTCTTCATTTCAACCTGTAGAAAGCATATAATGATTTGGTAACATTTTACAGTTTGCACACATGTAATGGACCACAAGTTAAAGGAATGTGAAGGATTAGTTTAAAAACATGTATATAAGTCAACAGTTGAAAGTTTTTTACTGTGTGTGCATAATTAAAACATATCTGTCTATTGGTGCCTTCAGCTCGGGATACTCACAGCACATTATTTTATGTTTTAAGCTTATATGACCTTCATCCACCCTGTCTATGTTGATTTTCCTGCAAAAAGTACACATTCTCTAGAGCTGCATAGGAATTTACAAATGCTAACTGGGTCTCTCTGAGCAGAAAAATTAAACAAATATGTCAATGAAGGCAGAAGTAATTATTACACACATTATGTGGTAGACAAATGGCAGAAATCCAAAAGGTATCCAGAGTTCTGGCTCTTGGTCCAATAGTTCAGCCATTAAAAAATCTTCCTCTTAACATAGCTGGATCCCTCAATGATCTGAGCAAATTATCTTTTTGGAACAGTATGATATAACAGTTTGATTTTCATTATTGCAATGGTTTGCAAATCAACATAGTTATCCGCTATAACTGTTCATCTATTCTGGAACGGGAGACAAGTTTTTTGATGCGACCTTGTGATGTAAAATTCTTTGTCCATCTTAATTGGATTTTTTTACATACACCACATACAGTGGTTGCTAAGGAGAGCTTAAACTCTTGTGCAGTGATTTACAGTTCCTAATAAATGATCCTGGTAGCATCACAGTGCAGTAATAATCAAGTCCTACTGACTACAACTTACAGAGGCTGAAACAGCAAAATATGGAAGGAGCCAATATAGGCTGGAAACCCACGATGTGCTGGTGGAAGAACAGAGTGAAAGGATGATTCAAAGGCTAAAGTATTGCTTGGGGATTTGGGAGTCCTGAACCAAGATCCTGACTTCTCCACAGACACCCTGCCTAAAGACAAGCAACTTTGTCCTGCCCACAAACACCAGCTGTTTGTGCTAACAACTTTTAAGATCGTTAATTTTGCATTTGAAGTGAAGCCAATGACCAACCTGAAAAAACAGACAGTGAAAAGGTGAGAATTATTCCTGCCTGTACTTACTGCTGTTCAGAAATATCAACGGACTGTGATGACCTTGCTGTTGCTCTGGCAGTGGTCCCCAGCCACCTCCGATGGGGAGTTGGCCATTTGCGTGGCCAAAGTCTCAATGAAAGGTGTGGCAGCCTCAGGTAAAAGGGAAGGCAGGAGCAGCGGTGGGAGTGGGACGGGATAAAGAGGAGTAAAAAGGCGATGTGGTTATAGTTTGACATTTCCAGCTCTGAGATCCTCAGGATAAAGTCTGCCCTTGTCTTACCAAGAGCCCTTCTCATATTTTGCCTTATTTCTGTGAGAACAGGACAGAGCCAAGCATCTGAGTGTGACTATAGGCTACCAGTGGGTAAGATGTAGCTTGGACATTGCACTTTATTTCTTGAGGTTCTTTAGTACCTGCCTAAGCAGTACATGCCAATACTGCACAATGTGTGATCGTGCTGGGAAGTGGGCAAGAACATGAATTAAGCAGGCTGTGAGCTGACATTGCGTGTTCTGCAGAGGCTGGTGCTGGTCCATTGCTGCTGGCGTCTGTGTGCTCTGAGAGAAGAGTGGAGGCTTTGGGCAGAGGATCCATCCTGCAAACAGCACCTATAGGCACTTGTGTACCCCAGGTCCTAGCAAAGAAAAGTAATATCTGCTGTTTCGTGGGACCTTAAGCTGCCAGCGGACGCAGAAAAGCTACTGTAAAGATTTCAGTTTGCTCGCTTACGCCTTGATTCAGATTTTAACTTTCAAAGGGACTGAGGGTGGTCAGCACCACTCAGAAATGGGTCCTGAAAAGAAAGCTGACACAAAGCTTTAAAAGTAGCTAAAATTCTGTGGTTTCAGCTCGCTTTCCTTTGGTGCAATGAGAGGTGAAAGAAAGTACCTGCAACAGTTGCACTTCTAACAAGTCATTCTTGAGTAACAGGATACAGGATAGCGAAGAAAATGCCAGCAAATCTAATTTCTTAAAGTAGTTTATTTTCTGTTGTACATACTGCATAGCAAAATAATGTGTCTACATATTTACATGATTTAAGTTAATGTCATATTAATATAATAACATGTTTATATTTTACTTCTCAGTACCAAATACTCAAAAATCTCTTCCATTGACTCAATAACATCTGTACGGCTTTCCTTTTATTTAACGGTTGCATGAGCATCATGCTTGTGAATGAGACAGTATTGATAACACTGGAGATAACAGAGAGCCTTGCAGTGTTTCATCATAGGTGTCATGGACAATTTAAAAAAATGACCAATAGAAGTATTTATGACATAGGATTATAGTGGATTATTAAAAAAACCTATGGAAATTTTCTATAAATCATCTAGAGGGATCTAAATCCCATAGTTTTTATAGCACATCTGCACACTTCTAGAGCATTTTTGGGTTTAATTATCTGAAGGTTTAATACAAATTTGCCATCATAAATGGAGCTTTATTGCTCCTTTAAAGCTCTGATGAATAAAGACCACACAGTAGCAATCTGAGTTTACTTATGTCACCAAACTCCGTTTCCCTTGGTGGCTTTAAGGTTGTAACCTTAAGTGCTTTGTAAAGGCCAAAGGCTCTGTTAGTTTCAGAAGATTCTAGATCATCTCCAGCTCAGTTGTCGATAAAAGTTCCTAGAGGTAGAAGTGCATACTGACAATACAGTACGCTATGAGTTTATCTTCTCTGTAAACTCAACTTGGATCATAAATCCAGTCCAACTGGGGGAAAGCTATCTTGTATTAAAATCACTCAGATGATTAACTCTACAAATAAAATGTAGGTGTTATTCGACTTTGAAAAGGCCATTCTTGAATACTCTGAACTTTCAAGACTCCTATTATCTTCAGTTAGATTTCTAAGGCAGTTAGGTGATGCTCTTTTTCATGTTCTCCGTTTCTTCTACTCGTGAGATTATACCAGTAGTGCTGAGCTTTTATGTTTCCATTAAAAAATATTACAAATATTCATTATGCTTTGTGAATATTAAAAAGTCTCTGAGCTGAAGTGTAGGTATGAACGTAAATAACATTCACTCAATAAGGAGCAAGTGAATGCTTTTACCCCAATGCAGAAGGGGTGAATAATCTCCTGTTACAAAGAAAACTCAGTTAGCTTCATGCAGCTGGCTGCAGCCTTCCTTCTGCTACTGCTTTACCTTTTTTGAGCTACTTTCCATACATACAAGCTGATGTAAACCTTGTATGTAAACTAAATGTAAATTAGTGGGGGCAGACCAGTTGCAAAAACGCACAGTCTGTCCATCAAGAAAGCAAAATAGTTTTGAATGACTGAACAGAGAAAGTAAAAGCCCAGAAGGTAACAACGCCCAAAAATCTCTTTGAGTAATAGTTCTACAGGATTCATTTACCAGAACTTACTCAAATACAAGCACCTCCTATCAAAAATCTACTGTAACAAACTGTGTGGGTACCATAAGGAGTTACACAATCCTGACAATAGCTTCTATACAGAGAACAGTATATACACCTCAGAAATGCAAACATTTCAAATGACACATGCATCAAATATTATTCAGCCATGAAAATATAAGTATGCTAGAAAGTAGGATTCAATCATGAAAAATGCCCAATAACATTAGAAGTAGGTCTCTGTATGGAGTTTCCATTAAGATCAAACAGTTGATTTCCCACAAATGGTTAATACTACTACATGTTTACCCCATGGACCAGTAGCAGACGGATATTTGTGGAGACTGATATGTTAGAAGGCTTTTTTCCTGTAATGAACAAATTGTGCTATTGTGGTAATGGGAAAACAGACTTTTTCCGTGGGTATTCACTTGAAATGGAAGTTCTCAAAGTGTCCAGGGAGTTTTCCATCTGCACAGACTCTGATTTTCTGCACCTCTTTGGGAACAAGTCCTTGCAGAATTCCACAGCCTTCTTCTGGAAGTGCTTCCCAACAATTACATACAAGACTGGGTTCAGGCAGCTGTTGCTAAAGGCACAGTACGTAGCCAGCTGGGTCACTACGTCATTGATTTCTTCCAAGCATCTGAAAGTGGGTGCGAGGTAACAGACTGTGTCAATGAACGTGCTGATCTGGAATGGAAGCCAGCAAACGATGAACAGCAAGAGCACAGCAAGGACCAGCATGGTGGCTCTCCTCTCTGTGTGGACTAACTTCAGTTTTTGTACCTCACTACTTCGTAAGGCTTTGATGATTTGCATAGTGCAATAGGTAATTACACAGAGTGGGATCACAAAGCCCACAATATTCAGCAAGCAGTTGTTTGCAGGCTGCCAGTAGCTGGATGGATAAACAAGAATGCAGGCTGTGATGTTGTATTCTTTGTAGTACTGTAAATTTCGGAACACCATCGTAGGTGAACATATGAGCAACGCACACATCCAGATTACAAAGCTATTCCATTTGGCACAGACCATTCGCCGCATCCGCCCAAGAGACATGGTTTTCACCAAGGCCAGATAGCGGTCAATGCCCACTAGTGTCAGGAAATAAATGCTAGAATAAAAGTTCATGTTGCTCATTATGTTGACAGCTTTACAAAGGAACAGGCCAAAGGGCCATTGAAATTTATTAGCGATATTAATGGCCCAGAAAGGTAAAGCACAGACTAACATTAGGTCAGCAAGTGCCATGTTTGCTAGGTAAATTTCAGCCACTGTGCAGTGACTCTTGTGGAAACACAGGACTATGAGGACAAAGGAGTTTTCTATTGCTCCCAGAATAAATATAAACCAGAGGAATCCGGGCTGAAAATCATGTAGCCATTTCCATACATTTGAATTAATACATTCATATTGATTCAGCTGATGCACTTCTGAATTATTGTGGAAGTTTGCTGGACTGACTGTGAGGTCCTGGGTGGCCATGACGTTGTAAAGCTGTGTAATGTTTTCAGTTGTGATGGAAACCATGTCTGTGCAGAGAAAAAGAAAAAGATGACATGAGATGGCTACATCTAGGTCATTGCTGTCAGACTGCAGTGAGACAATGTGAGTGCAAGCGCACAAGCTGAAAACCAGGTGCTGTACGGTAAATATGCTATGGGTCAGAATAGCTTGGGGTCTGACAGGGAGCAATTTACAGGCATAAATGTTAGATATGCGCTTAAATGTCACAAAGACCAAACAAAAGTTGAGTGTCCAGCATCCACTCCGTACTGTTACAATGTTAACCGTGTTTTTTATTGTTGTGCTCTGAGATAATGACTGATGGGATATTATGCAAATACAAGACTGGCTTCCCAGATCTGTGTATATAATTCTCTGCACTGGGTAACAGAAATACTGTTCGTCTTTTGCCAGGTCTTTAAAATACCACTGTTTATGTTATGGTTTGATTGGAACTTTTCAGATGTGTTTTTAATTAAGACATTTGTCTGATTCAGCTGGTAACTTGGCAGTAAAAAGGGGACACATTTGTAACCCCTGAAAGGATGAGGATTCTCATTTGTACTCTGGTTAATGGATTTCTTGGTTGATGGGTGTCAGTGCTTGATGTGCATATAGACATTTGGCTGTTGGATGCAGAATTACTGAAAAATGGCGGTCATGTTTTGTGTACTCAGTTTTAATTAAGCACTGTAGTGCTTGAGGACCCAAAGCAAAGAAGAAGACCACAAGTTACGAAGTACAGTAAAGGCAGGAACAAAGGAGACTCTATACTGTAAAATTTGTACCAGAGGTGTCAGGCAGGACAGGCCAATTGGATGAAACAGGCAAGTGGGACTGAGAACCTTGAAAGTCAAGGCAACTTAAAAATGGACTAATGAGCACCGAACAAAATGTCAGCAAAGCACGTTTCCAATCCTTCTTAACTTGAGCAAAGGACAGTAATTGCATAAACTGGGTAACAACATAAATATTCTCATTCTCCAAGTTCATCCTCTCAAAACCTCAAATTTGCAAACCCATGTCTAAATGCAGGAACGTATCTCCATCTTCCATCCTGCCTCTTTATTAACCTTGTCATTTCAGAACCACCTAAATGTTGAGAGACCTGTATCCTTTTGATTTTTGAGTGTTTTCAACCAGCATCTGTGGAACGGGTTGGTGGAGCCTCATTATTACACAGCCTTTCTGGTTGTAGACACCCGTCCACTGATCTATGCTTTTAGTGACACTGGTTATCTGAAGCTTTTCGGTCTAGTGGATATGGATTTAGTTGTTCTACACTGAAAGCAAATGCCATCCGCAGTGCATGCTGTGCAACATTGCCAATATTCTGATTTATGTCCTCTTGTCATCTTCCAGGTGCAAGCAACTTACTGTAGGTTGTAAACGCTTTGGTTAGAAATCTTACTTTTGTTTGAACCCTTCCAGGCATAGGAGAGCACCTGTACCTATAGTGCATTTTTCTGCCACTTTGTTTGTTCATATCTTAGCACAATGGAATATAAGACAATACCGAAAGATTCACTGAAACCCAGATATACCTGATCTATTGCTTCCGCTTTATTCATTAGGCCAGAGGTTAGATTGGATTAGTCTGACACAACTTTACTCTTGATAAGTTTATATTGGCAGTTACTTATCACTTATCACTCTGTTATCCTCCATATGTGGATATACTGATTATTTAATATTTTGCTGTCATGTTTTCCAGGTATTTAAATGAGATTGACAAGTTTGTAAATCCCTGCGTCTTTCTATCTCTGCCTTTTAAAGATAGGTGTTGTATTTTGCCCTCTCTGGGCTTCTGAAATGTCCCCATTCTTGTTGGTTTCACAGACAGAAAAATTGATAGCAAAGATTTCTTCTCCTAATTCCTGAACCACGCCAGTGTGGGTTATATGCGACCCTGCCACTTTCATACATCCATATATTCTTTAATTGGGAAGTTCTTCCTCAAGTCAACTAAATACAATTGTTCAAATCATTCATCTTCAACATCAGATGACAATCTTCATTTCTGAGAGGACTAACGCAGTTGTTAATGAACTCTTCATCATGCTCTGAGTTACTGGTTCCCTTTTCCTTTTGGTAACAGACCTTTATTTTCCTCTATTACCCTCTTCTTTTTGATATATTTATAGAAACATTTTATGTTACCTCCTATGTCCCCTATTAACTGCTACTCATTTTTATCCTCATGTTTTTGATATCTTTGACTTTCTGAGTTCTTAAATAATACCTCAGATAGCCATACTTCCCTGTAATTAATCTCCCTGTAGCAAAGCCTGGCATCAAGGTGCTGGTATTCATAAACACTTCAATATCTCAAAGCCCAACTTCTGTGGCTGCGAGAGGTGCCGCTAGCAAATTGCAAACAGCAGTTTCAAGTCTCCCTTTCTGTGTATGCTGGCACTTTATACTGTAAAAACACATAGGAAGTGAAATACTAATGGATGATCAAAGAAAGGGCATCTGGGAACAGAGAAGTTCTGTTGGGCGATGCAATTAGCAGAGGCTGTTTCTGTCCGTAGCAGGCTGTTACCTAGCAGAAAGAATTGTGAGTATTTTATGCTTTGAGGTTACGTGTATGCATATATTTAATAAGATGTTCATTAGCAATTCAGAGTGGTGATAAAAGCTATGATGTTGTCAATTTTTATGCCTTTTCCTCATTATATGACTAATAGAAAAACAATAAACAAGAATTAATTTACAGCAAATAGCAGTAAATCAAAAAAACCTACCTACTGATTTATGATATTTTCCCTACAATTAATCTCTTTCAGATTTTTTTTTTTTTTATAAAAGAAAGCCCTAGAATACTTTCAAATAAATTATTTCAGATTTCTGTTGTCTAGAAACAGTGTGCAGGGGCTAGTTAGGGTGTGACCAAGTCCATGGCATGGGGTTTCTGATTTCCTTGGTCCTTAGCTCAAGCCCTTCCATAAAGCCTTGGTAGAAATGTGTGAGAGAACAAGGTAATATGTGCTAATGATCAATTTATGAACCTTATTTAAACGATGTGCTCAGTGCTATTCTCTAGCACAGGAAACTCATTTGAAGTATGCGTTTACTGAATAAATTATGATTTACACAGCCACAATTTAGAAAAGGGAGCAATGTCTATTTGCCATTAGCTTATCACAATTCAGTGAAAGTAAACGTGACCCCTTCACACACTCTCTACAAATGCTTTCTGTGCAATGCAAGACAGGCCTAATGTCTCTGCTGGGACCCTGAAAAAGATTTTGTCTGACAGTTTTGATTGACACACTGCCCAGCTGAAGCAATCTATCATTATGATCATGAGGAACTCCTGTGGGGGCTGAATTTGTCCCTGCTGGAGTTCACCTCCTACTATTAATTACCTCCTCCTTGACAGTTACTAAAAACTTTGTCGGTCACTGTCTCATGTTGTTCCAGAATATTTTTTGGTAATAGCATTGGGCAAAAGTGGCAAGGTTTCAAAAGTGGGGGATTGCAGGGTGCCCTGTGTGGAAGGCAGCCATGACCTGCCCCATGTTGGTGGCAATCAGATCTGTGCCTCTTGTAGACACTGCCCTGACCAAGGCAGCAGGGCTTTGGGGTCGATGGGCTTGGGCTGAGGGAGGGATACATTGAGCAATGGCCAGATCCTGCCAATGCTGCAAATGAAAAACCCTTGCAGAGGGACTGGGGAGAAGAGGTTAATCAACCGTAGTTGCTGAGCTGATGGATTGTTTACAGGCAAGGGGAGAGAGACCCCAAAAAGGTGGTGGTCACCAGTGCCATGGCCTGAAAGCTCTGAGGGCTGGGCACAGTCACTAACGCTCCTTGGTATTGCCCGGTAACCTGGTGGCATGTTCTCCTGAGAATATCCGGAAGCCAAGATAACACCCAGAGTCCAGGGGTGTGGTCAGCCTTGGAATGTTGTACAACCCATCTGTACATGCTGGGACCTATGGATGTTCTTGAAAGAAAAGCAGCGAGATATGATGAAGTGGGACAAAAAACCCTATAAGGATGAAGAGCTGTGAGCTAAGGAGTGCAAGTGCACGGGAAAAAAGGTCAGATCTATTGAAATAAATACTTTAACAGAACAATTTTTTTCCTATTTTTCCTACCATAATTGATGTAAATGCCCTTATGATAACTGCAGAGAAATGGCTGTCATTCCACAGTATGCTTCAAGTTTACACATCAAAGGGTCTCTAAAAATTTGACTTTTGAGAGGTAATAACTCTGTATCTTTTCTTTATTGCCTTAACCTTCTCACAAATTAAGGAGTTGATTTGCATTAAAGTAACTTTTTCTTTTGCAAGGTTATTTTTGTCCCAGTCAAGTTCCTCAATCTGGTTTAACATGAAGCCTCATGAAAGTGAACAGTGTAACTACGAGGGCAGCCACAGGGTGCAAAGGGATGGCGAAGGGTGAATGAAGAACAGGAAACGTTTAAGCTAACGTGGCCGCAAAAAGCATCCATACAATCTCAGATGTGCTAAAGCCCATTAGACATTAATTATACAAAGATTGGAAAGTAAAAATTGAAGTCATGGGGTCAGTAAAAGCAGAACATTTTAGGAACGTTTCAGATGTTTTCTCTATCTTTCCAAAAGAACAAATGCCCCCTTAGTAAATGTGGTGGCTTGACCCTGGCTGGATGCCAGGTGCCCACCAAAGCTGCTGTATCACTCCCCCTCCTAAGTTAGACAGGGGAGAGAAAATATAATGAAAGTCTTGTGGGTCAAGAGAAGGACAAAGATAGATCACTCACCAATTACTGTCACGGGCAAAACAGACTGAACTTGTGGAAATTAACAATCAGATCAGAGTAGGGTAATGAGACATATAAACTAAATCTTAAAACACCTTCCTCCTACCCCTCCCTTCTTCTCTGGTTCAACTTCATTCCTGATTTCTCTAACTCCTCCCCCTGCAGCAGCAAAGGGGGACAGGGAATGGGGGTCGTGGTTTATCTGAACCAAGAAATAAGTATTTTTAACATTAGAGGATGCTCCAGGATGAAAACAATAGGAACTTCA